GGGTGAGGCATGGTGTTATTTCAGCCATAAGGGCAAAGAAGTTGTTATCCAAGGGTTGTCAGGGATACTTGGCACATGTGGTGTTAAATGATGTTGATTCCGGTAGTGTGGAGGAAGTCGGAGTAGTCAGACACTATCCTGATGTATTTCCAGATGATTTACCTGGGTTGCCTCCAGATAGAGATGTGGAATTTTCGATTGATTTACTTCCAGGTACGAACCCTATCTCTTTGACTCCTTATAGAATGGCACCATCGGAATTAAGAGAGTTGAAAATTCAATTGCAAGAGTTAATTGATAAAGGTTTCATTCAGCCTAGTTCTTCACCGTGGGGAGCTCCGGTGTTGTTTGTAAGAAAGAAAGATGGAACTTTGAGATTGTGCATTGATTACAGGCAATTGAATCGGGTGACGATTAAAAACCGTTATCCCTTGCCTCGTATAGATGATTTGTTTGATCAGCTCAAAGGTGCCTGTGTGTTTTCTAAGATCGATTTGAGGTCTGGGTATTATCAATTAAAGATTAAAGATGAGGATGTTCATAAAACAGCTTTCAGGACTCGTTATGGGCATTATGAGTTTTTGGTGATGCCATTTGGATTAACGAACGCTCCTGCAGCTTTCATGAGATTGATGAATGAAGTATTCCAGGAATATCTTGACAAGTTTGTTATTGTTTTTATTGATGACATCCTGGTATATTCTAAGTCGAAATCAGACCATATTCGACATCTTAACTTGGTGTTAAGGAAATTGAGGGAACACCGATTATATGCCAAATTTAGTAAATGTGAATTTTGGCTGGATCAAGTGGCATTTTTGGGACATGTGGTATCAGCTCAGGGAATTCAAGTGGATCCTCAAAAGATAGCAGCAGTGGAAAATTGGGAACAACCTCGAACGGTCACTGAGGTGCGGAGTTTTCTTGGTTTGGCAGGTTATTATAGACGGTTTGTTCAAGACTTTTCTATGATTGCCTTGCCATTAACGAAGTTAACCAGGAAGGATGTTAAGTTTGAATGGGATGAAAGTTGTGAGCAAAGTTTCCAGCAGTTGAAGTATTGCCTTACTCATGCACCTGTGTTAGTACTTCCTGATGATGATGGTAACTTCGAGATCTATAGTGATGCTTCTTTGAATGGTTTGGGTTGTGTTTTGATGCAGCATAGTAGAGTGATTGCCTATGCTTCTAGGCAGTTGAAGACTCATGAAAGAAACTATCCGACTCACGATCTTGAGTTAGCAGCTATTGTGTTTGCTTTGAAGATCTGGAGACATTATCTCTATGGCGAGAAATGTAAGATCTTTACAGATCATAAAAGCCTTAAGTACCTTTTCACTTAGCATGATCTTAATCTTCGTCAGAGAAGATGGTTGGAATTGTTAAGTGATTATGATTGCACGATTGAGTACCATCCGGGTCGTGCAAATGTGGTAGCTGATGCTCTGAGTAGAAAACCTCAAGGGCGACTTAATGCTTTGTATGCCAGTCGTGTTTCTCTTCTTGCAGAGTTGAGATCTACTGGAGTAGAGTTAGAATTGGAAGAGCAAAGTGAAGCTTTTCTTGCCAATTTTCAAGTCAAGCCAATTTTAATTGATCGGGTGCTTACAGCTCAATCGTTGGATGAAGAAATTCAAGAATTGATCAGTTTAAGAAAGGAAAGCTAAGCCCCAGGTACATTGGACCTTATGAGATCACTGAGAGGATTGGTGAAGTTGCTTACAGGTTGGAGCTACCTCCAGAGTTGTCTAAGGTACATAATGTGTTCCATGTCTCGATGCTTCGACATTATGTTTCAGATCCTTCACATGTGATTCCTCCTCAACCATTGGAAATTAATCCGGACTTGACGTACGATGAGGAACCAGTGACTATACTGGATTGGAAAGATAAAACTTTGAGGAATAAGACCGTGAACTTGGTAAAAGTATTGTGGAGAAACCATTCAGCGGAAGAAGCTACATGGGAGACAGAAGAACGGATGAGAGATATGTATCCGAGGCTATTTTATGAGTATTGAGGGTTTGGTTGGTGACTGGAATTTCGGGGACGAAATTCTATAAGGAGGGGAGATTGTCACAGCCCGTCCCAGAATTACTTAATACCGAGGACGTGAAATTACAGAAACGCCCTTAAACGGGATTAAGGTGCGTAATTTTGACATTTGTTTTACTTTAAGATCCTAAACTAGGGTTAGAATTATATATTTGTATGTGTTAATATTATATGGGTTAAGGTAGGGCCTTATACCCTAAATCCCTCCCCAAAACCCGTTTTGTTGTCTCTCTCTCATCTCCCTAGTCACTCTCTCTCTCTTATTCTTCAGAAAACACTCTCTCACTCTCTCTCTTACTCTCATTCTCTCTCAAACTCTCGGACAAACACCCAAGACCTTGAAAACTTCACAAGTTAAGGTTGAGGAAGGTAGCATCGTGTTCGTAAGGACCATACGAACACATTGATATTGTTTTCAGGTAAGATTTCCCACGATTCCATGTAGAAAACTTAAGCTCCGAGATTGCTACTGTTCATGAACTTAAATTTGGTTGTGTTTTAGGTTAAACAAAGATCACCACGAGTCTTAGGAAGTCCCAAGGAGGCTCGGAGTGCCTCATTTGAACAAAATGGACGTCGGGATCGTCGGGTTCGAGTTTGGCCGAAATTGAGGAATTTTGGAAGGTATGATCTCGTAGTTTTTAGGCCTTAAAACCCTTCCAACGTGATAATGCTTCATTTTGGTGTAAAATTCGAAGAAATTGGACGAAAAACGAAGGAGAATAGTGGATTTGAAAATTTTCCAGAAACCGGCGACCGGCGACTCGCCGGAGAAGACAGGGAATCTTCCGTCAAGTTTGACGGAATATTCCGACGCCGTTAGTTAACTTTAACGGAAACCGTTAGTTTTTAACGGAATATTCCGGGAATATTCCTAACGCCGTTCACTGTACCGTCAGTGTGCCTGGCACGTGGCTGCGCGTGGGCCGCGCGTAGGTCCGTGCCACGTCAGGCGCGTGGGGGCGCGTGGAGCATCCAAAAATTATTTTAAAAATATGGGGATGATCCTGAGGTTGTGTAGGTCACTGTGGTATATTCATATACCCAATTTGAGCATCGTATGAAGAATTTATTACCTAGTTGGTTTAGGTGCGTTTAATGTGCGTTAAATGATTGTTTTAAGTTATTTCACTTCTAGGTGGAACTTTTAACGAGGACGAGCACATCCAGGGCGTCAAGGGGGTTACGACCCGGCGACATACCAGTGAGTGGGCATTGCTTTCTATATATATACTTATATACTCGATTTCCCCAGAAATCAAATTTAAATGAAAAATATATTGAAATGAAATGAAATATGATGTGATTGCCATGCATAGAATGTTATGGATATTATGAACTGTCGTATGATGCATATATGTATGATGGTGCTGTGGACGCACAGGTAAGTATTTAATTACTGTTATGTTGAGGATGATGATATATTGAGCTCATATCCTGCACCATGGTTTAGTGCTTATAGTATTCACCGCATCGCAACGCTCGCCTTGGATCCAAGTAGATGCTGGTCGTACAGTCCACGCGGAGTGGGTACGACGGGCCAGTCGTAGAATGTTTAGTGAGATTATGACTGGTGGGTGACCTTAGGTTATTGTATACAGATGATTGATGAGAGAAGCACTTGAGCGAATATTACCATGAGTCGTTCAGACTGCATTAGGTGGTTCCGACTTATGTGCAGAAGGCCGGACAGGTCACGCGGAGTGACTCCGGCAGAGAGTGAGATTGATAGATGTTGAGCTCTAGGTTCAATCGTTCAGGACTATTAGAGGGCCTCCGATTGATTATTTCTTTTACCTGATTTATATTATGTCAATGCATTCATACTAAACTGCTGAATTTGGCATGGTACATTCTTTATTGAATCTGCTATAAGATTGTTGATCGAGACAGTTGAGATATATATGCTATATACTATTTTTCTGGGAAAGTATACAGGTTTTCCAAAAAGGGGTTATAAATGTGGATTTATGAAATGTTTTGGAAAAGCTTTATTTTTCGCCCACTCACGTTTTCTGTTTTTCGCCCCTCCAGGTTCTAGTTGATAGTTGAGGCGTTGGTGGCCTACGAGGACTGCTTCGGCGTTCTGACAGACTAAATAAATGTAGGATTCACCCGAGGGTGTTGTAAAATAGTTATGGTCCTACTTGACTGCACCTAGACGCTTATGCTCTGTTTATGTGTGTTTAGTACACTCTTATGCACATAGAATGCTAGGTTGTAAATAACTGCAATTAGTGGTTTTCGTTGACTCGTATTTTATTATTAAATCGTTTCCGCTTGCGTTATGGTTACGTCACACTCACGTGACGGGCAGCACGTCCTAGTCTTCGGGTTAGGGTGTGTCATAGTGACTAAAAATTATATGACTTAAAAATACTGGAACACTATTATATTCTATAGAAAAAGATATAAACTTGATGTGAAAACATCAGACTAACTTGACATACTTATTTTAGTCACATTTGCACCGCTTCTCAACTCATATATTTTGTTTACTAAATAATGTGAGTGTTTGTTCTTATCCAACGTCTTTAAATTTATTTTAGAAGAAATTTGTAATTGAAGTGGTTAAGAGTATTTACTTGTAAACCTATTTGTTTCTCCCATTGCAACAAATATTGGGAGGAGAAAATCAAACGCATAACCTCTAAACTACTTTTAGTACAATACTCTTTTCATTATTTTAAATTTGCTACTCCTGAGAGTGTAGTTTAGTTTTTCTAAGCATACCTTCATAGGCACTGCAGAAGTCAAGAGTCAAGGAACTAGACCTTTGTAAGTTCAAAGGTCTCATCAAAACCTCAATCCATCATGCCAAAATGACGAGATTTTGCCCTATCATCAGGAACATATCCCCGTACGAGTGTCTCACTCATCATGTGACCTTATAATATATTAACATGTCTGTATATTTCCAGTGAACCTAAAAGAGCGATAGCAAACCAGATGTAAGCTAATACTTTTTTTTGAAGAACTTGATTAGCAACTGTATTGGTCATCAATACCATGTTCTAAATCAATTAGCAAAGCCTACTCAATAAAGAAAATAGATTGCTAAGAATTTACATTTGAAACTAATAGTGCAGTTTCCTGAATGGATGGGAAATCAAGCCTCATCACCATCGCTTCCGCCAATCTGAGCTTCGAGAGCGATTGAGTAGTTGCTTCCATCAGGACCGAGAATCTGGAATCTGCTCAAGAACACAGAAAATCACTCTAAAAGCTTTTAATTCAGCAACCACAGACGTCGATTTGGTTTTACCTCTCAAGGATACACTTTCCTTCCTTGTACTTCTGGGATTTCTCATGCGCCGCCTCCTGAAATCGATGACCAAAATAAAACTCTCATTCAGCTGTCACTTTGATGCAAGTACTGCAAATACCGAAAACAAATAAAGCATCGTTTTGAAGAAAAGATATCCTTACATATTTCCATCCCACATTTGATCCACACGAAACACAAAATATGTCAGCAACGGTATGCAATCCTGTTATCATGATCCGCTCTTCTTTCTCTCCAAGTGTGACATTTACGCTGCCATACATTGGGGAAACGAAGGGTTAACTCAGCATTCATATGTGTAAGCTGCACTTGATGCAGTTATGAATAAGCCTTCTTCATAGGATTCAAGTGAACGAAAATGCGTTTATGAGACAAATGCATTAATTAGTGAATTTTGGGAGAACAATACTCCAAAATAGATTTGCTATGCTGTCACTGATTTCATTAATTCTATTTCTTTTGCCATCCTCAAAGTTAAGCTTTTCAAAATTCATCAACCGGAATGAATCCTCTGGCCTATATCAGACCGTGTTCGGTTTGGTGCTTCAAGTCATTTCATATCGGTGGACAAGAAACGATACATGCACATAGGATGGCCAAGTTTTTTGTGGCAAGTGAGACCAATATAAACTCACATGCTCGTAACCCTAAAACTGATATACAAGCATCCATAGCTATGACTGAATCTATTCAAATTTTCAACCGTAAAATAGTATTACACTTACACTTTATCGAAAAGATAAGCCTTCCCATGCCTGGAGTGAAAAGACTGGAACAAAAACAGAAGCAAATCAAGGGGTTAGAATGTCACTTATCAATCCTAAATTCCTGATATCAAACATACACCATACTGTATCGCTTTAGTTTCCATATGATCAGCGTTCAAACCAACAGTAACACAAATAACCAGGACAACATTTTGGTCTCGAATTATAGTAGAGAACAGAGACGCAAGTTCCTATCTAATCTTCCAGCCAAAATTTAACAATTACACCAGGAAAGTGTAAAATAGATACCTTGGACGTAATCTTAGCAGGAATTGAAGACCTAATTCTTCTCCAGCAAGTAAAGCAACAATCTGTGTTCCTAGAATTGCATAATTAAACCCGGAATATCATCATAGAGGGTTGCAGATAAAGGTTCAAAATCTTGAGCATTTTGCGTATCCGTTCATCAAACGCGCAAGCCATGAAGCCAAAGCTGATTGTGATGAGCCATAAACAGAATTAGGAAACGAAGGCCTGCACCATGAATAAAAGAAGGAACCCAGAAACAACCCAATGTTTGAGCTTCCAATCTCAACCAGTCTGAACATGAACCATCACATTGTGCTACGGTATAAAGGTATCACAACTCCTCAATATCACAAACAAAACTCTCTAAACAAAACCTAAACCAACAATTTACGTATCACAACTCCTCAATATCTAATGATTAGACCCCCTATCTATCACTTATTGGAATTTAGCTTAACAAACCCACACAAACTAAATTCTTACGTCCACCACCGATAAATCTCTCATCGAAAATTCGCCACACATTTACATATCACAACGATGCATCATAATTTCACAGAGTTCTTGAATGTCCAGGTAGCGTGCATTATGCAAATAAACAGTAAAAATTCATAACAAACAGAATTACGGGGAAGGCGATTTCGGACCTTAGAGATTACGTCGTCGACAAGAGCGAGATGGGTTCTGCAGTGCTTGCAGCTATACATGTTTTCCTCAAGAGTGATCACAAACAGCCTTCCCATTTCTCACATACAATTAAACTTTCTTAATTCTTGATTTTCTTTTCCCTACAAAAACACAAAGATCGGCCGCCATGTTAGAAATTCAAGCATTCCAAAAGAAACCCAGAGATTACCTTCACCAAAACTTGAGAAAAATCAACGTGATAAAACCTGAAAATTCCAAGAAAAAAATAACGAAAAAAAATGAAATGATACACAATGCAGGAGTGCATTTCCCATAATGTAGATTTTAGAGAAAAGATTAATACCAAAAAAAATCTCTTGTGTTGTGGTACATTGTATGTCTTTATCACGCAAATCTTATTTTCACGAGTTTTGCGTAATGTACTTATTTTCGTCGCGGAAGCTGTTAAATGCAGTAGTGGTAGTCTTTGATTCCTCATTAGGGTAAGCAAAATGAATGGAAAAGTTAGTATCCTTCTTTGAATTTGATATGCTACATCTAGCGACCGTTAATTAATAATCTTTGCATCACTATCGAATTTGATATGCTACATCTAGAGACTGTTAATTAATAATCTTTGCATCACTATCGAATGATGTTCTTAATTCCCAACATAACAACTTAAACGTTAAATTATTTAAGAAGATTTTTTTTTTAATTTCTCTAAGGCCTAAACAGATAAATGTTTTTTGTGGTGATATAGTATTCCGAAGTTAGGCCTGTTGAGAAAAAAATTAGGAATCAAACCCTCATGGTGAAGTCTGTTAGGATTCATGCCCCAACAGACTTTACTACAAGAGTTTAATTCCTAAATTTTTCAAACCGGAGGCTATCTTCCGAATACCTTATCAATTATCATCACAGAGACCGTTTATTCCGTTAAGCCGTTCTTTAATTGTATGAACCAACAACTCCCCAAATTACAAGAAATTGTATTTTAATATTATTTTTATACGCGTGATATTTGACTCCGAACTGTAAAAAGAGGAGGGAAGAGAGATTCAAACTCAACTATTTTTTTTTTTTTAAAACAAACAATATTAGTTACACTAAAAAAAAGTATGAACTTAATCTCACAATGAGTTAAGAATAATATGGTTCAAATTCGTCTTTGACATGATTCAAACTCAACTATTAAAAGTGCAATCTGCTCGATAATGTGACTACATCCACATGCATTTCGTTATAATATTTTACAAATAAATAAGTTTTGCACAGTTTAAAAAGCTTTCAGAAGAAAAAAAAAAATCCCTCTACTATTGTGGGAAAAAGAAAGAAAAGGAAGAATCTCGCGGCCTATTGTTCGGTTAAAAAAACTTGTCGCTAATAGGAAAACGCCACGGTAGAAAGTAAGGACGCATTATTTGTGGTGGGGGGGGGGGGCGCCGTGCCACGAAACCGAATGAGATTCAGATTTGGTTGGAGGACGGAAAGAAAGTAATTCACCAATCCCTTTCACGAGAAGGTGCCAAAGGACACACGAAAGAAACGTTTCACTCATAGTGACTAGACCAAAGCAAAAAAGTCAATCCAATCCAACTAGGTTATGTGTTCGACTGTAGTATTACCTGACTATTCACGTTGTGATAAGAAAGACGATCCATGATTGTTTTTAGAACCCAATTGTCCCACATCATTTAGTATATCTTAAAGGCGTTTCAGAGCTTTTGCGTACCTTTCCCTTCCAAGCCGATTTTTAGGGGCAATTTCTACTCTTAAAACATTGTATTAGAGCTTGGTTTCACCACGCAATCGAGCGCAACTCCATAGAAGGAAATGATAAATTTTTTCAGTGTGTCTGGAACATGTGGTGAAACACCACATGTCATTACATAAGTGAAGGAAGGTTTTATTTTTCAAGAATCCCACTACTTTTATAATAACATGTGGTGTATCATCCCGTATTACGAGTACGTGAAAAATTTGTAGATGGGACCGCCTCAAAGGAAGGAAAGGGCTCCTCTAGGTCAGTGTAGAAAGCAAAACTTCACCAAACCTCTAAGGACGCGTTTACTAATCCGTAATCAAATTGAGAGGAATTGAATTGAGGAGGAATAGAAATGAGGGAAAATCAGAATCAAATTCCTTTTGAAGTTGTTTACTAAAACTGTTTGGAATCGGAGTAGAAATAACATTGATCTATATAACTGTTTACTAATTCACATGAATCGGAATGAAAACTATTGTGATTACTAAAATACCCCTAGTTTAATTAATAAATGAAAAATAAATGAAGTTTTTATTGAATAAAAAATTGGATGCGATCCCCTATAGATGGTTTCACAAAACACATATTCTTATTAACTTGATGACCAGCGGACAAGGTTTAGCACAAGACATTAACTAGGTAGAGAACCAAACAAGAGCTAAGACAAAGAACATTGATGAGCTGATGGCTAAACCTCGAGGAGGGCCGGAAGTTGAAACGGGCACCATTTGATCTTCCTTGATTAATAACACTCCAATGAAAGCGTGCCTCCGTGACGTGTGGTCAAAATATAAAGGGTCCAGAAGGAAAAGTATACGTTCTCCCGTTCAAAAGAGGGGATGCACGAGTAATGTCCAACTATGAAGATGAAATCGTGCCGTGCGGTGTTATTCTCTCAACAGCACCCATTCTCTGAGGAGGCCACAAAATGTGGGTAACCCTTCCTTCAACTAAACCAAGAGGAATCTGCCAACAACAGCTTGTTTAAGTTAGCCAAAGAAACAGAAGTTTAGAAGGAAGCCAAAAGTAGCCACATTTTCAAATTATTTTGCACAACATCAATTCTGATGAGGACAACTGAACTGAAAGCAACATCTGAAACAATGTCTTAGAATACATCAAGCATTATATTCTATCAAAGTTTTGCAATGACAACAAAATCATCTAGCAGAAATTTAGAAGGATGCCAAAAGTAGCCACATTTTCAAATTATTTTGCACAATATCAATTCTGATGCAGACAACTGAACCGAACAAAGCATGTTCATAAGCAATGTCCGAAACAAAGTCTTAGATTACGTCAAGCATTAGATTCTATCAATGTTTTCCAACGACAACAAAATTACCTAGCATAACAATGATTGCAAACTTTTTCCAAAATGCCAAACTAATTATCTATATAGCATTTCAAATTTATCGTGTCCTAGAAAAACATTTTGTCTCATTTACGAGCCACAAGCTAACGGAATAGAAAAACGATTTCCATCCTACTCCGCATTCAACTTTTCAGAATATAAACAAACAATAAGTGATTTGCCATAAAAAATACAAAAGTAAATTCAAATACCTAGTCAGCTTATTGTTTCGTATCTTTGGGCACCAAATCAATATAATTAAGGCCACGATGATAAATTATACTATCGTTAAACTATTTATTTCTCTGGTGTACAAACTTAGCAGTAAGGTAGACTTACTGGTCCAAACGATCTTGAATCCAGGCTAGAAGATGAATTGTCTCCCTCAACCCAACAATGTCCTTCTGTAATTTTCACCACACATAGGAATGACGCGTTCCAATCCACTCACCAGGTAAGGCAGTTATTCTCTTTATGTGACTCTCCTTGTGGTTACTTGGGGAGCTGCAGAATGTTCCATCAGGTTTCTTATTATAATTCACTAGGCACAAATAGTACTCGAGTGTTGTTAAGGGAAAAAATTACCGGAAAACTACCACGTCACCATGCGAGAACTTGTAGTTTTGAAGACATTGTTTCTCGACCAAAACATTGTCATCTGCAACCGAATCACAATCAGACCACTAAACAAACCATCACATTGCACAACACAAAAATCTTAGTGAGACGTCATTCAATATACCAACTAGTTGGCAAGCCCATCAAAGAAGTCGCTCCATGGTTTAACGTAGGCGACATAGAGGAACCCCGCACCAGAGCAACACTCGCAAATCGATCCGAAACATATACACCTATAATCCCAGATGTGAAAAACTTGTTGGCAAAATTCCACAAACCACTCCGAGTTCCCATGTCCTGTTTTTTTTCCCTAAATACTCACATTTCATGTGCAAAATGCAGCCATCTGTAACAATTATCATCAATTTTACCGAAAATAAAATCAAATCAAATGCGCAATTTCGATAAAGTAAGAAGATTTATATAAGCAAAAACAGTAACCAATCTCTCAGAGGCAAACAATCAAACACCTGGTGAGCTTAATGGACAAGAGGGAAAGAGAGTAGGTTACCATTTGGGAATATTTCGGATTAGCTGTCGAAGAAGCTTCCTTCACCGACGGGAGTCTTCGTTAATGGAGGTAAGGCGGGAGGAGGTAGGTCGTGTACCGCCGTCGCGGAGTCGTGATTTGGAGGAGAAGCAAAGTCTGGATTATATTTCGGCTTTGGAGCTATATCTCAGATGCTTTTTGCTCAAGGAATTTGAATTGGGTGACAAGCATTAATAAAAAAATAAATAAATAAATAAATGTATAAATAGGATCACCTATATAAATTTTACTAATTTGGACCCCTACAAGTTGCTTAAAGAGTAATCAAAGCCCACCACTCCCATCAGAGTTGAAAATCTAACGAAAATGACATTTTTATTCTAAATGTCAATTTTGATACTATTTACTTACAACATTCTTTTGCCTTTTTTTTAATTAAAATTCAAAGTTTTCAAACCATTTTCATTTTTTTTTTCTTTTGATTTATTTATTTTTATTACAAAAGGACAAGTTAAATTATTCTAATTCATATGGAGTGAGATTATTATTTGATATATTCTCGAACTTGAGTGAAAAGGGTAGACACGCTATTATAACTAATTGGTTTAACCTGAATATGCTGTGTATGTTTTTTCTTTGATTAAATCCGTAATTTTTCACTTAGATAAGTGTAATTTGATTTTATTTACCCATAAAAAAAAATAAATAAATCTTATAATCGATCAATTTGTTAAATGAAAATTTTCTTAACTATGGGCCATACAATTATGTTTTATTTTCAATCAAGTCCTAAAGTGTGGTTTCATTTGCGATAAGTTATATGCCTTAATATTCACTTAATATTAAATTTTAGTGACATTATTTTTCCTTGCAAGTAATAAGTTAAGTTTAAACGCTCTTGAATAACGAGTTCAATACCTATTTATTTATTTATTTATACTATCGTAACAAAAACTCGTTACACTATTCTCTCTCACTACTTAAGTTACCCAAATTTTTAACTTGAGATAAATTGTTGGGAAATTTTATTTGAACCCATCTAACTTCTTTGTACACCCAACTTACTCTCTTCACCCATATTGTTTTTTATTAAAGAATTAATATCTCTTTAAACTGTAGGTATTTATTCTTGTATCTCCATGCTACTTGAATGCATCTTTCTGCAAGGCCTCTCCAGTAAGGTGACTCATACCTGCCATAAAAACCAAACTTCAACATCAATGTTCTGTCATAAACCATTCCCACATGCATCCTAGACGATTTCTTGCAGACCACGTATGCATATGTCACCAGTCTTCAATCGTGTATGCATACATGAGATATGAATAGCTTGAATAAAATAAACCTTATGGCTCCTGGAACACGTGGTTTGCGCAAGAATCTGGAGAAAACATTGGTGACTTCTTCAATGTCAGCTGCAGCAATCAATAGAAGAGACCTACATAGGTGGACTACTTTCCATAGAGCTTGTTTCAAAGGGAAGATAAAAGTCATTCGAACGCTGCTTGAAAAGGGTTTGGATATGGATGCTAAAGATGAGGATGGACACACCGCGTTGCACTGTGCAGCGGAGTCGGGTCATGCGGATGTGATTGAGATGTTTATAAAGAAAAGAGTTGATGCTGAAGCTCGAACTAACAAAGGTGTGACTGCACTGCATATTGCTGAGTCTTTGCACTACGTTGGGATTACTAGGATACTTATTCATAGAGATGCAACAAAAAAACAATAGTAATATGGCACATATGTTGACCCAGGCCTCAGTTTCATTTGGGAAAAAATCTATGGGACTAGAGGAGGAGATCATCAAAGGAGGAATGAAGAAGGAGAAATCGAGTCAAGCTAGAGCTCTTCGTGTGAGCTTTGATGGTTCGATGCCATTGGTTGTTGTTTAGCTAGTAAAGTTAGAACTAATATTGGTGCATTGGTATTTTGATAAACGTAGTATAAATTAGAGGATTCAAAACTTCAAAATCATTATCCATCAATAAAAAAACTTGTTTTTCTCTATGAGAGCTATTAGGGTTTTAGCCGTAATGAGCGTATGATAAATAAAGAGTGATCCTAGGGTTTAATTATAGTGTTTGGGTTTATTGATAAATTTGAGTTTTATTATTAATTTTATTTTGTACTTAATAGTAATTATGCAATAGGGTAAAATAGGCAATTAACATTTAAAATTTAGGGGGGGTGTATTCAATTGGGAATTTGAGAGATTTTAATGGATTTATAAATCCATGAATTTTTATGGAGTCTAATTGATTTGTAGAGATTCCATATAAAATTTTAATTCAATTCCCTCCAAATCTCTTGGGGAGAGATAAGATTTGTGGATGATTAAAATACACTACAAAATCTCTCTAATTCCCTCTAATTCCCCAACTTTGTCAAATTCTTTAAAATCAAATTCTAATTGGATACACCTAGAATGTTATAAACTTCTTTAAAATCTTAATGGAATACACCCGGATTTCTAAGGATTTTAATAAACTATCTTAAAATCCTAATTGAATACGCGTTGAATTTCAGATAATCACTTAAAATCCTGATTGAATACCCCTAGATTCATTAAAAGAATTAAAATCCCTCAAAATCCCAATTGAATACACCTCCTAAGATGAGTGTAAAAAAATATTACATAAGTTTAAATAAAATTTCCCTTTGACGTCCAAAGCAAGTATCATAAAATATCAACCATGTAGTCATTTATCAGGTAGGAAAAGCTCACATGGCATTGCGTACACTAATCCTTTGATCACATCACAATCTTTACAAACTTAAGCATCACAAATCATGATCAGCTAAGTAATTAACGTTACATAATTAACCATTGTCCACTAATTAAAAAAACCAAACATGATATGCACGTAGAGAATGGGCGGTCTAAGAAGAGAAGGCGTCGATGATGGTAGTGTGGAGCGGGTCACTCAAATGGGTAGCCCAGTTGTTAAGCGGGCCCTTTCCGGTCACGGCGGCCTGCACGGCGAACCCGAGGAACCCAACCATGGCGAGGCGGGCGTGCTTGATTTCAGCCAGTTGAAGCGTGGCCTTCTTTTCTGGGTCGGCGGCAAGGCCCAAGGGGTCGAAGAACTTGCCACCCGGGTACAACCTCTTTTCCGGGTCGAGCTCGGCGTTCCTCTGGAACTCGATGTAGCCAATCACTAGAACTTCGATCCAGATCAATGTGGTTAGTGAGAACGGGAGTGGCTGACCCAAGTAGGATGAACCTTCGATGAGCTCCACCTGTACAAATAGCTCCACATAATTAGCGTTGACTGTGAGGTCAAAAGACAAAAATACACCAAATGATTTTGTATTTTAAAAAACTAGATTTTAATCCCTAAATAAGATGAAGTTTAGAAAAATGTCTTATACAAGATTAAAAATTGATTTTAGTCCCTAGACTCTATTAAATGTCAACATATGTATTCAATGTCTCTTTTTTTTATTTATAATTTTATGGTGTTCATAAATTAAATTTTATGAAAATATTATAAATTTTTAATTCTCATTATTGTGAGTATCTTATATAAGAAAATATTTTCGTAGAGATTGTTTCGTACATTTATATTTTCGCACATTTTTTTATGTGCCACTAATTCATTACAATATATTTAGGTACAAACATTTCAGTACATTGAGTTAGTATAATATGTTTAGTATGGACATTTAGGTATATTAGTTTAGTATAATATATTTAGATATCGAGATTTCAGTACACTAGTTTAGTATCATATAGTTAGGTACAGAATTTTCGGTACACTTATATTTTTGCATATTTTCTTATGTGCCACTAATTTACTACAATATATTTAGGTACGGACATTTCGGTACATTAAATTAGTAAAATATATTATGATATGGACATTTAGGTACACTAATTAGTGGAAGTTAAATAAAATTAATGAATTAAAATGTGTATAATAATAAATTTAAAATTTAATGTAATGACATTAAATAAGATATCTATTAAATATTAAAAAAAATATAACATAAATTTGAATTAAGTACACATTAAGGGACTAAAATCAATATCCAATCTCACATTAGGTTTTTATTAAATTTTAATCTTCTTGAAGGATTAAAGTTCAAAAACCCCTTTGTTTTGTTTTTTATTTTTTTTTAACAAATGATATTCCACTTTAGAAGGGAGAGTAAGTTAAGTCTGACAATAAACTAATAATAAGATGATTCAAATTTGTATTTTAGCAAGATTTGAACAAATGATATTATACTCTAGAAGGGAGAGTAAGTTAAGTCTGACAATGAACTAATAATAAGATGGTTCAAATTTGTCTTTTGGCAAAGATCGAACTTAAAATCTTTCACTTACAAGTGAAGAGAAATACAATTAGACTGTAATAAGTGGCAAATACACCAAGCTATTCACAGACCCATTTTTATCTCTCACTCGTTCTTATTAAATTTTGACTGTTTATCTTCTTCAATTCATTCGATCTGATGGTCGAAAATTAAGAAAAATGTATGACAAGTAAAAATGAGTGTACGTATATGCACTTTGATTTGGCGCCAAATAAAAAAAATGCAAAATGTAAGCTACGTACCTTTCGGCGTCTTGCCATGTGATCCCGGTTAGGGACTCAACAGTGAGAGCACCGAGCGTGGCGAGCATGGCCCACCTTCCATGAATCAGCTCGCACTCCCTAAACCTCTGCAACCCAAACACCTCCGTGTAAGGCTGAAACGGCGTCGACTGGACGTCCGCGGTTTCGGTTCGAGTCCCGATGATGTCACCCGCCAAGTTCTTGGCCAAGTTTTGGTCCAACCCGTCGTAGTCGTACTGCAAATACTCCGCGGGTTTGCCCAAACCGAACGGGTCGAACCCGTAGTCGCCCACCAGGGTCCCGTCCAGCCACTCCGGAGCCTTTGCGCCCGGGTACCAGAGCGGGCGGTCAGTCGAGAAAGTGGGTTTTGTTGATTTCTTGGGCGGCCTTTTCTTGGTCCCGAATCCGAACCGGCCCTGAACCCGACCCGAGTTCGAGTACGCCTCAGACGGGAGGCGTGTCCCGATGAAGGAGGATGTAGCGGCGGCAGCAGCTGTGGTTGTTGCCATGGCGCCGGGGGTGGAGGAAGGATCGAGATTATTGCAATGTCTGTTTAAGTGAATTTGTTTGGGATTTTTATGTGGAGATATGGAAGTAAGTATTTTATCGGGTTGGAATGGATGATCCGGTGTGGCGGATTACTGGCCCTTGGATTGAGAAGAGTATCCATCTGACGGATGTGAGGGTATCGGCCTTATCTTTGCCTTATCTGATGGTGGGGTTTGGGAAATTTGGACATCAAATTGACTGTTTTCTTTTTGAGATCATTGTGGCATTTCTTGTGGTTGAGGTCACAAGTACCCTAAAATCTAGTTCCTTTTTCTTGTGGTTGCCCCTTCCTCAGTGAGTTTCTTCTGTATCATGTATGTTTTTCTAAGCCAACGTTTGAATTGTATTTTAACTGTAATGACAAGAGCCGAGTATAAGTAACTAGAACTAGTGGTGAGCATGTGAATTAGGTTAGCTACGGCGTTTTCGTAAAAGTTCAATCCACAAGTAAAAGACCCAAATCTTCAGTGCAGCATAATCTCATAAGATTAGAATGCGGAGTTCCAAATCTTTAGTGTAGCATAACCTCATAAGATTCGAATACGGAGTTACGGTGGACAAACTCAGAGACCACTGCTATCAATTTTTATTGTCAGAGACCAAATTGCCGAGTTACATCAATGCAATGAACCATTTTAGCTAAAAAGCCATCTCATATTTAATGCAAGATCTGAATGAGAATGGAAAGCTTAAGGAATACATACTTCATGAGAAAAATCTTGGGCACCCCACGTCAGTAGAATACTTTTTACAAAAGCAACAAGACCAATATATTCTAATCTTATCCGAATCCATGCTTGTCCCATTTTATACCCACCCCACCCCTTTTGGATGTTAATACATGAATAGTTAATGCTATGTTCGAATGTTTAGGATTAGATGCGTCATTGTTTTTTTAAGAGAGCTTTTGCATAAGTAACATGAAATTGTAATGAATCATGTGCAAGTCACTATCGGCATGGCGTCTACGGCGGTCTGGATGCTGCCAGAAGATCTTGATGGTTATCTGTTACCGGAGTAGACTGTCGTACGTGCTGTGGCACCGCGTCCTTCACCAAACAGGTTCCCTTTGAAAGAAAAATCGAAAGTAGGTTGCTTACGCACCGTGTTCTGCCATGTCTTTCCACCAAGATCTGACATGGCGGATCACGGTGCAAATCGTCTGAAACCCATTTACAAACTAACGAAGAGAGGAGTTCAAGAATAATTAAACTATAAATGCTTACGCAATTTGATCAGTTTGTTCCCAATTGGGCTTCTAGATTTCGAAACAGAAAACAACTTTCATGCTTGCTTACAAAGATAAAAGAACCTCTAACCTACCACAAATGGCATGTTAGTATCGTAATTAATTACAAATTAAAGAGAAAATTGTCAAAGTAATGCAACTCTATTTACACTTCCAATATAAATAAATTGGAGATACGGAAAGAATTGTAATGAGAATTTCCCAGGTGATATTCCAGCCCCTGTTAATTACCCCTTATCGACGAAGATCATACGAAACAAACTTAGGATTTGGCGCGATGAGAGGAAGCTTATCAATGTACATAAAAAGTCTCTTTGAATTCTCCCTAGAGATTGTAGACAGGTCAACAATCTCATTGTTGCTGGTGTAGATCCAAAGATCGCATGAGTTGACTCGTTTCAGACTGTCACGGCAGAAGGGGCATGATTGAGACAGTGTACGCCTACATAAATCAAAAGGGAAATCCTCTTAGCCAAGGAAAAAACAGACACATTAACTGATGTAGCCAAGGAAAAAAACAGATATCTTAGATCCAGATTATATATGCCAGAGACTATTTGACCGTGGTGCTATGTTATCACTTAAGAGAACTATAGAACATCACTTTCAATACATTCTTAATACGATGTATTTTGATTGCTAAACTTGAAAATATATGGATCTAAATTATCGCGTTTCAGCCTACCTATGTGCAGGTGAAGATTACTTGAATCATCAACCACTTGTGCAAGAAAAATTGAATACAAACAGGAAACTTTCGGTAAGAAATATGAGAAATCAAGATCAACAAGCAAAAGGGGATAAAGAAGGAGAAAGTAACAGCTGCTTACCAGTTTCGATAGCACTTCATACACATACAATGACTGCAATTGGGCAATACAACCTTGCTGTTCATCTCCATGCAAATACCACATTCTTCTTCTCGCTCTAAATCAATTTCGGAGAGCTTTCCTTTGACCGCCTCGTCTTTTCTCTTGTACTTGGTGGAAAGGATTTCGTTTTGTTTCCTATCTTCTACCTCAGTCAATCCCCTCTGAAGTTGCAATAACGAAGGAAATATCACGCCTGATTTGAAACAGTCAAAACGGGATTGCTAAAGAGTTGTACATCTTTGTTTTATAAACACTTCTGTTCAAGAATTCTAATAAAAGAATACAAATTGCCTTCAAGTTACTTACTGTAGAACTCTTTTAGACTAGCTTTTCTTTCATGAATAGACATGGTGGTCTTCCCATCCTCGTACACCTGCGACAAAATTGACACCATCACAACAATGACAAGAAGCTACAATTCTTTATTACCAATACACCAGATTTAAAGTTAGATGGAGGGGTCACTACAATTCACCTTGTATATTAGAATTCTAAGCAATCCCATGGATCCAGCAAGGTGACAATCAGTCCACTGAATGAGAAACCAAAAGAATTGCGCGGCCGGGCTGTAGGATAATCTCATTTGGAAGCAGGCCCCGTCATTTTCCCTCGGATAACCAGAAGCCCTGTATACAGAAGAAACATTAAATTTCAAACGGATAAAACCTACAAGATACAACTGCCCCTCTATTTCCCTCATAAAATTCCAAAGCAAATGACATCAAAAACAAAAAAAATTCGGAACCTAAAACATTTGAATATGCAGTGGGCCAACAAAAAGTTCCCAGATTGGCTAGGATGAGAACAGGATTAGGGTATTATCCTCTATCAAAATTAACTGCAGATTTTGAAGTTCTACAGAAATAAGTTACCCAACTTGAAGAAAAAGGAAAATTTTGGGACAGTTGAAAACACCAATAATTGCAGCTCCACAATTCCCACCACACAAATCAGAGTAAAAACTGGAAGCAGCGGCTCACATCCCCCTCCTACACGGCTACACAAATTAGTATATAGAGGTTGAACAACCACCAAATCAAGAGGCAATTTCGATAAATCTACAGCAACCAGCCTATCATCAACAAATTAAATTAATTGTGAATTGTGGGTTAGTAGCAGAACCGATTGTTTATAAAACAGGAAACTTTCAATCCATATCGATGAATCCCTAAATTACAAGGACACGAAAAAAAAATATCATCAGAAATTCAGACCCCCATAGAGTAACAGTAATAATCAGTGGTGAGTTGTTCAACTTTTACCAAATGTCAGTAAATTCTGTAATGCAAACTACATAGTGAAATCCAGAAAGATGAACAAATATCAAGTGAAACAGATAACCCATTTCTGAAACATCATCGAATTGCTAAGACGATCTTTTTACATCAAAATCCCATAAACCCAAAAGAAAAAATGGAAATTGGGAACGACCCAGAATCTGAAAATTTACAAAAATCAACAGAAACGGATGAAATTGAGAGAAAGAATTGGAGTTCTTACAGAGTGTTGGCGAACTGGATGTCAGCTTGGAGCGCCTTGAGAGAATCCTTGAAGGACTTTCGCATTTTTCTTTTCCTGATGGTTTTTACTCTTTTCTCATCCCTCCCATGAAAAACTCTAAACATTCATCACTCCACTCACCTCAAATCCTCTCTCTCTAAAAACAGCAGAAATATTTGACCCTTTCTCTCTCTAGAACCAGAAGAAAAATCTGGTCAAAATTTATAAAATTGGTTTTTGGGGTTGTGAATTGGCAACTGCTAAAGCGTTAGAGAGAGAGAATCGTGCACAGTGAGAAGGGTTTTAGAGAGAGAGAGAAGGGTTGGGGCTTACTTGATTTTCGCTTAGAGCACACGTAAACAGTATTAATAGAGAGAAGAAGAAGAGTATGGAACGAAAAAAAAAAACGAAAAATTATTACGTATGAAATGACCCATTTGCCCTTTCCTTCCCGCCTCAAGATTCATGACAGACCGTTCCCCGATATTTTTCCATCATCACCCTGAGAGTGACCGTTTAGCCTACCGACTCGCCGTTTGCCGGTCGTTATTCAGCGACAGCGACGTCGCCGAGGCGGTGGGTTGCATAGGAGCTACGTGCACCCCCAGGTGAGGACAGGGACGAAGCTAAATCCGGGCTGTGCAGTGTGGGTGTGTGACGGCAGCGGTCGTCTTGACGCGTGGCCTCCATGCATCACGATCTGGTTCAACCGTTAGTGTGTGGGTCCCGTGCTCGGTGGTTGTTGAAAGAGCGACGTGTCGTGATTGGTGAAATGGTAGGGACCACCACATGCCCAGCCGTATACTTTCAGCTTTATTGTTTATCATGGAGTCGGGAGCAATATATCATTGGCCTATTAGTCCCTATAATATAGGGACTCCCACAATTTGGTGCCTCGTTGATTAGATATTTGGGTTTAATTGGTCAACAAGTAGTCGTGTAGTACCCAAAAACAAACAAAAAAAAAAGTAAATTTGTCCACACGTTTGGACCACTATTAGTTGATTTATATGAAACGGATAGAGTTCATTTTTTATAGAGACTTCTTTTACCTTACGGAGACTTTAAACTTACATAGAACGAACGTACTCGTACTATTTTGATTAACTAATACAATGTTAGATGTAAATTATTTTTAAATATCATTGGTTATTGAATTAGAACGTCATATGATAATAAGCTCGTTTTATATAAATTTTTCTCCTTATTAATTGTTTTAGTAATCAATTTTACCGTACCTATTATCATATTTCATTTTGGCATTTTGGCCAAAATGGTCCTTGAAATCAGCATAACTCTTTAATTTGGTATCTGAGATTTGAAATCGATATAACTGGTCCCTGATTTTGTCCAACGTCAATTATTTTGATATTTTTTTTTTCTAAAAAAGCTCCTTTAAATAAGGACAAAAATGACACAAATATCATCAATTTAATAAACAATGGGTCAAGATGATTTGACAAAATTGGGGGTATTTTTGTCATGTTTCCTTATTTAACGAAAATTCTTTACGGAATGATCAAAATGATTATCGATGGACAAACTCATGGACCAATTCTATCGATTTTAAATCTCAAAGAGAATAAGTTTCATGTTTTGTCACAATTTGAATCCAAGGATTTATCTTGACAATAGAGCGGGTACGTGTATTTGTTTTTTACTAGTATACTATACAAATAAGACATATCAATTATGTTGTCCACTCAAATTATATTAATATGTAAAATAGTTTATGTGGTGTTTTTTTTTAGTGTGTGTGACATCATGGCTACGTTTGACATGTTGGTCTTATGTACATTATTGATGGTTTCTTAATAAATTCTTATTATCTTAAAAAAAATGAAAACTAATGAAAATGGCTTGAAAACTTTAAGTTTTAATGATAAGGACAAAATAAAGGGTAAAGTGAATAGTACCAGGATTGACTTTTTAGTGTAAAAATGTGGTTTTTCGTTAAAGTGAACATTACCGGAAGTTTTTCGTTAAAGTTCCCTAAAAAAAAATTATACTCTTGATGGTTTCTTAATAAATTCTTATTACCTTAAAAAATAATCCATGTGATAAGTGTTCAGATATACATGTAAAATTTACCATCAAGTATAGGTAATCTTTTACAGTTAACCAATGTTTAAAATATTGGTATATTTTCAGTTAACCAATGTTTAAAATATTGGTATCGCTAGAAATATCGATGTGCAAATTTATGAAAATATCAATATTGATATTGATTACCTTCGATAGACATAATGAAAATTTGCTCAATGTCAAAAACACCCTGTATAAACGAAATATAAAGTTTATCTGTTATTTAACCGATGTGTCGGAAATATCAACGAAATCTTTCGTTTTTAGCTGAAATTTAAGAGTAATTGTAATTTTTCGATATTTCAACGAAAATATGGATCGTATTGAATAAATTTCAAACATTACAGTTAACACATTAACTATAGTTAAAATAATGTACGCATGCATTAGGAATAATGGTTCCCAGCTGGGGAAAGATTGAGAGATACATATGATATATATACGCCATTAAAAAGGTAGTTTCTTGCACAGTTGTAGTCCATAATCCTGTATTTCTATTAGTTTAGAAATTAATTAGTGTCCACCAACTTTGTTTAGTAAATTTATTTAGCAGAAAACATAAAAATAATTAATCACGATCAAGGAAGAAAATATCGGTGATATCGGAAATATCGATAGTCCGAAAACACGGAAATATCGATGGAAATATCGGTAAAATATCGATATCGATAAAAATTACATGGAAACCACGGAAATTGTAAGAAAAACTTGGAAATTTTTATTGAAACTTTGCAGGATGTTTATTTAGTCAATTATCTATTAGTTTATCACAAAAAATTGGAAGGAAATGCATTGCATGATGGATTTAACTGATTTAAGTTGATTATATAGCAAGCTGGCAAACATTGTAAGTGTAGAAAATATGTAGTAATTAATAAAATAAAGTTTAAACACACCATAATCATTTATATATAATGAATTAGTACAATATTTTACACTTTATACATTGTATGGTAAGATACATGAGTGACTTAGCATCACATAGAATGAACGTGATGAGTAGTTCAAAAGTAGATACTTGAAAAGAAATTAATCAAATTTTAGTATGATGTAATTATTTGGACTTGATTTAAAAAATAGAAATTAATCATATATAAATATATGTAACTGAAAAAAAAATAATCAAATTTTAATATGATGTAATTATTTGGATTTGATTTAAAATAGAAATTTATCATATATAATATATGTAACTGAAAAAAAATAATCAAAATTTTAATATGATGTAATTATTTGGACTTGATTTAAAATAGAAATTTATCATATAGAATATATGTAACTGAAAAAAAATTAATCAAATTTTAATATGATGTAATTATTTGGACTTGATTTCTCTTTTATACATATATTCTTCTTCCTATTTTCTAGTATTTCAGTTTAGTAAGTAATTTTAAATTTCGGAGACGAAATTCTTTTTAAGAGGGGTAGATTGTTACACCCCACCCCAATTTAAAATTGTATTTTCATTTATCTTACTTTTAAAATTATTTTTGATCTTAATAGGTGTGCCCAGGGCCACCTTGCTTTTGTGTCACCGTCTCTCTTTTCTCTCAGATCTCTCTTTTCCCTCACTCTCTCATCTCTACCGTGCTCTCTCTCTGCACTCTCTCTGCACTCTCTGCACTCTCTCCTTCTCCCGTGAACCAACCCACAACGCCACACCCTCACTTTCACACCACTTAAAGCGGCGAACCCCCTCATCGCTCTCTGCACTCTCTCCTTCTCCCGTGAACAACCCTCATTCTCCTCTTCGCCCTCTCTGCACTCTCTGCACTCTCTGCACTCTCTCCTTCTCCCCCGTGAACAACCCACACCCTCACTTCCACACCACATCAACGGCGACACCACCTCATCGCCATCTCCGTCTCTCCGTCTCCGTCTCTCCCTCGGTCTCTCCGTCTCCGTCTCTCCCTCAGTCTCTCCGTCTTCGTCTCTGCCTCGGTCTCTCCGTCTCCGTCTCTCCGTCTCCGTCTCTCCCTCGGTCTCTCGTCTCCATCTCTGCCTCGGTCTCTCTCCGTCTCCGTCTCTCCTCGGTCTTCCGTCTTCGTCTCTCCCGCGATCTGGATCCTTCTTCTTCGATCTGGTTTCTGGATCCTTCTTCTTCGATCGGGTTTCTGGATCCATCTTCTTCGATCTCTCCTTCTCCCAAACACACACACACACACAGAGATCGCCGTTGATCGTGGCTCAGGCGAAGTCAGAGGTGCGCCGCGGAGCAAGGATCGTTCGTATTCCCGCTTCGTCAGGTGAGATTCCATGAAACCCTAAAAACCCTAATCTCTCCGACTTCACCTTGCCTTGAATCGTTTGTATATTTGTGAATCTGATGTATATTTGTGAAATTAATGTTAAGATTGTTGTGTTTTTTGCAAGGTTTTTGGGACGAAACCGGCCCGGGAATCGCCCCACGGTCTCCGGCGTTCTTCTCCGACGTCGCCTCGGATTCCGATTCCACCGTCCATGGATATTTCGCCGATAATTTCCAAATATCGCGATATTATCGATATTATCGATAATATCGCGATATTTGGCCGAAAACCCCACGGAAACCAGTTAAAATATCGCCGACCGGAAAAATCGATATTATCGGCGAAATATCGCCGATAATATCGATATTTAAATCTGTGATCACGATTAAGACATTTGTTGTTATGCTACCTCGAATTATATATGCTTCTTTGCACAAGATAAGTGGATTGGAATTGGGTGGTACCGACTGAATTGGGTGGAAAATGCTTTATAATTGGTAATGTTCATCAACTTACAAAGACAAATGGTATAAAATGATCATAGCAAAAGTTGATGGCAAAAAAATGGATGCATCCACTATACATATCTCGAAATTTAAACTCATTTAATCATGATAAATACGGTGGTGACAAAAAATATTCCCAAAAAAACTTGTGTTAAAAATAAGGGAATTGCTATTAACACTCCAAAAATCTCATTTGATACTCCAAACTTTATATAATTAGAAAGAAAAAAAAAACACTTATGATGAGTGTAGAATGAGATTTTAGAATGTTAATAACAGTTCTAAAAAATAATTAGTAATTTGCATTTTCGAGGCATCATATAGAAGAGCTGGTAAATGATTTTCGAGAGGCATCATATAAAAGAGTTGGTGCAAAAAATAATAGTTTTATGTGGTGATACTTGGTTTTCCTTTTATTTTTCGTTCTGAGGTAATCTTTTGGGATATGGTTTGTAAATTGTTGCTTGGTTGCAGTAACTTCTTCTTTTCTTGTATTCATTGTCTTCAAGTTTAACTAGGCAAGTTTTTGTTCTGTCCTCGTTTCTTGTAATATGAGGTGTAAAATTTTTGTCTCCATTGACTAGAGAAATTTTTATTGTGATCGGAACACAGAAGGTACGTTTTTATATAAGTGGCGGAAAATTTTACTTTTTAAGTTATTAACTTTTTAACACACATATTTCACTATTTACAAAATAACATGTGGTGTACTACCTTGTGTTCCGATCACACTACAGAATTTCTCCATGACTAGGTCTAACTTTTTATTTCTCGTAGCAATAAATTTCCGCCGAGTTTTCAAGAAAAGAATTTGACAACGGAAGGAAATGTAGTTAATAAAGGATTGGATACTTAGGCCATCTTCAACCAAATGCTAGCTAGATGGCTCGTTTTAACCCTTTGGCCGTCCAAGATATTAATATTTTAATGAACAGTACAAAGTCATATTGCCTCCATCTCCAACTGAGGGCCATATGGCTCATTTTAGCCTTGTCACAAAAAAATGTCTCCAACCGAGGGCTAAAGGGTCATATGATCAAACATAATTTATTATTTAAATTTAGAAACTACAACAACTTAAATTTAAAAACTACAAATTAAATTCATAAAAAAAAAAAAAAATTGGCCCAAAAAAAAAATTATTGAATCTAACTGTAACTGACGTCAGCTTGTCGTTGTATTTGAAATTTTGGCCTACCATTCATGTCGGATATAACCGACATGAATAATGAAAATTCTGGCATGGCCTGGAGTTGGCTGGCTGAGTTGGGCCAGCCGGTTGGCCCTTTGGCCCTTTTTTATCCAGTGGAGCCCACGAACCCTTTGGCCTAACCCTCGGTTGGAAACGGTTTTCAGGCTATTTTCGGCCATTTGAACCCTTTGGTTATAGATGACCTTAATGATTGGTTGGATGAAAATGACAAGGCAACAGAGATTGCATCTAAAACGCAATCGTCTAGATTGAGAAGCTACCTTTGCTTCTAGGATCAACCAATTAACTTGGCTCTCTTTTTTCTTTTTTTATCTTGTCAACATCATATTGACGTGACTTAATCGTCCGTTAAATAGGAGAAATTAGAAAGTAGAAAATTTTAAACTGAAGAAAATCCTATTTTGATGTTATCATTGTGACGGTGTACTTGTTATTCCTTCAATATTGTTGGCCCAACTATGAGGCAGGTGTACGAAGACAGAGGTGGTGGTTAGGGATGGACAATGGTTATGACGGGCAAGTCACTGCGGTTATTTACTTATAACCGTTTATGTTCATATCTGCATAACCGTTTATCCATTAAGTAATTGCATAAACGGTTATACCCATACCCTTAACTATTTATAAACGGTTATACCCATACCCATAACTGTTTATAAACGGTTAATCATACCCATTACAGTGTACCCATTGAACCATAACCGTTTATAAACGGTTAACCATACTCATAACCGTGTATCCATTTAATCATAATCGTTTACCCATTTAACCATAACCATTTACTTGTTTTTGAATCCGTTTATCTTTTTCTTTTTTACCCATTTACCCCTTTTTCACTCGTCTACATTTTTTTAACAACTTAAAGATTACAAAAGAAAAATTTGTCATAATTTTCGTTTTCTGACAATTAAACACCGTTATATGTACATTTTAGCATGCATTTATCTATTTTAATCATTTAAGTCCTCATACATTTCCAATAATTGAAATAATAGTTTATGAATGATATTTTTCTGCTACACCCAAGCAAGGCTTTAATTACAATCCATATGATTACAAAGTAAAGCTTCTAAAAACAAAAAGTAGTCATTATCTTGAATACTAGATTATTCAAGGCTCCAAAATATTCCGAAACTAAACACTTTCGAACACTAATGCTGTAGCATGTTCAATCACAAAGTCTCATCGACTTGTTGTCACCAAAAGAAGCCTACAAAAGAAATGTATATATTGAATTAGTATCCCATTTAGGAACACTGTCACCAATTAGCATGAATCCAACAGAGGTAAGTGATCACATAAGGTTTACATTGTACACTTAGTTATCTTAAAATAAAAAAATAAAATAAAAAAATAAAAAAAGCAGAGTACCAAATCAATTGAGTTAGTATCACCACCATTCATCAATATGCATAAACAGAAGGTTTACATTCCATGATTTTTCACACATCTATATGCATAAATTGAATTAGTATCACCAATAACTCTAAAGTAAAAAACAAAAATAAAGATTAGCTTTTAACACATTCACATCAATATCATCACCAAATGGGGAATCTTCAGCATGAGGAGTAGAGTTTGAATCTGGTTCAATAGTAAAAATTAAAATTAGGCTAAAATAGTAAATTTTTTAACATATACATAATTTATAAGAAATTTTACATATATTAAATTAAATGGGTAAATGGATACATGTTATAACCGCGAGTAATATCCATAACCGATGGATACCTGTTATAATCGCGGGTAATACCCATAACCTCCCATTTAAATTTCACGGATAAACGGTTATACCCATAACCGTTTGTTCGTCTAAATGGTTATCCATAACCGTAACCATGAACTTTAAATGAACAGGTAACCTCGATTACCCAAACTTATGAATATTTTCCCCATTCCTACTGGTGGTCATGACACTCTTGTGGAACAAAATGGGCCTCGAGCCAGGCTCACTTGGTGTTACCATTTAAAACCCTTCTTTACATTGTGCCTCATTTTTTTTACAAATATGGCTTCCAACCCTAATAGTTGCATTGTAAAAGGAAACATGCACTAATTATATGGTTGATTATTATTAAGCGTTGGTTAAAGTATATCTTTTCTATTATGGACACATTATTTGATTCAAAAATTTGGTTTTCCTATCCTTATCCGTTCAATTATGATATGAATCAAATAATTTGCTAGAAAATTAATTTTTTTTAGTTAATTATCACCTAATGCGATAATTACCCGATTGGACCTAATTTATCCATTATATATATATAGACACACACATACATACACACACATGTATATATACATACATATATATGAGTATAATTCAAAAACAGCTACAAAATTGCTGGTTTGTTTGTTGCCCACACTCCTTTTTTCTTGTATTTCTTGATGAGAAAGAAACTCTGTTGACTTCACCCCCAAGTAATAAGCTTGGGTAGAAAGTACAACAGTCACTATTTATTTACAATCCCACCACTCAAATCTCAAGCACACACTACTCACATACTCATCATTCAATCTCTCTCTCTCCCCCTCCCTCCTCCACTGTTTCCTTTCTCCTCAATGAGTTCGCCGAGCGGCTGGTGCATCACCGGAAAGATGGTTCTGCTGGGTGTGCGAGACACCGCCATGACATTAGCCTGTGCCTTGTATGTCAAGTAAGTACATCTCTCTCAGTCTCTCTCTCTCTCTCTCTCTCTCTCTCTCATTGTTTTTTAATGCACACTTGCACAGGGACAAGTTAATAGGCAAGTCTGGCAAGAATGAAGGGTCTGCCCCGTCTGGTGGTCGGAATATTGGTGCGGCTCCATGATGACCCGGCCAGTACGCTCGCGGAACGTGGTGGCGATTGATTTGTTTTTTTTTTATTTTCCTAAGTTTTCTGGAAGAAAGAGAGAGGCCAGAGTTAATTAACTGGCTAATTAAGCAATTTAAATATGTAGTGCAAGTTAATCACTAGTACTTAATTAGTTTAACTTTGAATTCACAATGTATTATCAAGTTTCATGGAATCATGTTGATGATACAGATTAAATTTAATAACCAAACTTGTGGTTTCTTATTTCATTTTTCTGGGGAGGAGTTGCCTACAACTTCATTATCCCACCGTGACATTTCAAACTAGTCATGCATCGCCAAATGTTTTAACTCCCCATTTGGTGTCGTAAGATATGATTGATTTGGAACATCGCAACATTGACGTCATCACTCCTCACTTCATCTCAATCCTCCATATGAGGGGTGTAGGAAAATCTCTCTTATCAAATACATACATTTTACTATGGATTTTTACTCCCAATAATGCTTTGCACGGCCACATTTTACAGCAGTTAAAATAATTGATGTATCAAGTGCACAGACACGTGTTGCTAATAATTCACGTGTTATAACATCGCATGTTCGATTCCTACAGAATTGACTCAAGAAAAGAATGTTACTACATGGAAATTATAATCAGAACAGCTTCCATTAGCTGGAAGGATTACGTTACAACAAAGAAAGGCCGGGTCGATGAATTACTACAAAATCCAAGGGTTTTCTACCTAGAACTAATAGGCAACCTAGCTAGAACTAATGATTGTTCTACAAATATATAGAACCTTCGGGACAAAGCATTGACCGGGCAGCTCAGTCCTCACTAATACAAGTTCCACATAATGCCGGGAAGAAAATTCGGTGTAGTTCTCTGAACCAAAGACAATACAGTCGCACAAAATGTTGGACTGTTCACCCAACGGCCTTTTAATGGTGTTTACTGCGATTTTCCTCCACAATTCTCTGAAACTCCTTTTCACTGGTCGCAATGAGACGCTTGACCATGTCATAAGTTGTGAGCCTAATGCTGCAGTTGAAAGAGAGAGATTTCATTAGTTAACCAAAATTGCACTTAGGAATGAGATCTTTCGGCTTATATTTTAACATAATGTGATAGGGAATGAATAGACGGGGATGTTCATGGAACCTGCTGTTCGGTAAAGTTTTCAAAGCATTAGGCAAGAAACCCCTATATAAACCTACAAGTCCATCACGCTCCACAATACCTGCATAAGCAACATCAACTCAGATAAATGACTTTGACTATGAACCCAAAGATATAACTCGTCACAATCCAAAGTCGAGTCCAGCTCACACACAAAGATGAAACAATATCATGCACACACGGTCCATGTTCTTCAGTTCAAAGAAACATTTAAATCCTACACTATCACGCAACGAATATTCTCAGAACTAATACTCCAATGCAAAGTATGATCCATGTATACCAAATTCATTATCTTTTGCCCACCATTGTAAGCATAACTCATGAAGAGATATTGAACATATAAGTATTTTTACCCATATTAGTATACTACATTGAACCAAATCAAGAATGTTGGAGAGTTGAATTCCTGGTCCCCAAGAATGTGCCCCATTTAATCATAGTATCATAGACGAACCAAGTAAATATACAATACATAATAGTGAGAAAAACTTAAGACATCTGCAACTGTAACAACATGTCTCATGTTATAATTCTATAAGACTCCACTACATTCAGACTTGTTACTATCTCATGTCTCATGTTACCTGGAATGGCATCCAAAACTGTCTTGTAAGGTGTGCCCTTCATTTGCATCTGCCTTCTGACAGTATCCAAAGGATAACAAGTGAGTGTGGCAAAGGAAGCTGCCACCAAACCCGTTAATAGAGATGCTTCAGCTTTCTTTTGAAAATCCTCCGGTAAAGACTTCTTCACCCTGTCATCCGAAAAACTTTGAGTCTATAACTAACATAGAATACAATCATTTGTATTCTCCTTCAGTGTAATAAAGAAAGAGGTAGGAGTGAACTAACAAGTCAAAAATGCAAAAGTTCACAGCAATATATGGAGCAATTCCAATAAGAGAAGGTCCAAGACCATAGTAGAAGGATGCAACTCCTTCCTCTTTTAGCATGTTTAAGGCAATCTGGAAACAACACTTCAAAATTCATCTTTCATGAACATAAGGGCATCTTATTAAAAATAACACTATCAGGTCAGTCATACCTCAGACATAGTTCGATACCCTGGTTCAACTGCTAAGCGCAACCTCAGGACATCCAATGGGTATGTTACCTACAGATGGAAAATAGTAGATTTGTGAATTGTTCTACACAACAGGTAGAATGAAAATAAGCTAGATAAAAAACAAAAAACCAACAATGTTAACAACTATCCATAGAGTTAAGTAAAATACAAGGTTTTACATGTTCCATGGAGTACTACACTGACAAACAGGTTTACGATTAACAGGAAAAGGCTCATCAACTAGAAATGTTACAATACCACAAATGACCATAAATGCATTACGCACAAAAGTGGATGTCATGCCCGCACAAGCACCCGCTGCAAGTCTTCCCAGAAGCGATAGCTCACCATCTTTGCCCCTAAAGAGTTTCTTCAAATTCAAATAAAAAAAACTTAGGAGCTTTAGTTCTGAATACATGGAATGCTGCACAAAGATTTCTTGAAGAGGGTTTCAAAATTACCTTATAAGCTTCATAAGCAAAAAGCTGAACAGCACTATAAGGGATAATCCGTATCACCTAAACAATTAAAAGAATTTTCAAAATTAAATGCAACTCAAGCAAACCCCCTTCTATATTGCATGGGAAAGTAATTTGTAACTAAATGAGAAATTTAACCAGCAGAAAACCTGAGGAAGGTTGCCTTTCCAGTACCCTTTAATCCCTTCTTCCTTCCCTATCATTGTTATGGCCTGTAGGGCATGCACCAAGATTAAACATGAGGAGGTAAATTATGCAACTCTGTGAAAAGATCTTAAATCTTCATTAAATATGCAAGCCACAAAACCACAATACGAGAAACTAATGAGCAGGCGATAGAGTGCATGACTGTAAGACAAATGCAAATAATTTATGATGTTAAAAAACCGGGCAGAGCCAGAGGATGGTCCGGACGAACCATAACATACCTCGAGAAAACTGATCGCCTTCTTAGCGCTTTGTTGCCCAACTCGCACCCCATGAGTCTGCAAAGATGTCAACATATTTTAGAGTACTATTACTATACAGTTCCAATTGAACTACTACTTGATTTAGATCGAAAGCATTGCCCTGTAGCAAAAACAACCACCGAGAGTTACTTTTGATATTTCCAAAGTAACGTTGTTCATAAATTTACAAGATGTCTAACCTAATGTTCTCTTTTCTATGCTATTTTCTCAAATCAGCTACTTCCCAAATTCACAAATGCAAATAAAAATTCTGAATTTTGCAATGAATGCCTTCTAAATTCCCCGGAAGCAACAAATTTTGAACATTTTCTTCGTATTTTCACCGAAACCATAACACAAAAGGGAAAGGCAAAAGGCAGCACAATCTCTTCCATACGACGCTGTAAGCATATCGGAGCATAAAATTGTGAGAAATGTGACAAAAATCAAAGGTAGATAGATAGAGAGAAAGAGAGAGGGTTAACGAGCACCTGCATAAGAATCTTGATGCGGTCAAGCGGAGCCGTGACGCTCTTAGCGGCGGCTCCAGCGACGGCTCCGGCAGCAAATAGCGCAACGTCTTTGGGCACGCATGCGAGAATAGCCAAAGGATGCTTCAACAGCTGAGCCGAGGTCGGCAAAAACTCGTTCCTTTGTTCTCCCCTTTCCGCCACCGAAACGCAGGCGAAATTGCACCGAATTCCACGGCCGCTGCTGAAGCTGAGCTGCGCGGTCGTCCACAGCGGTTCGTGGTGGTCCGCGGCGTCGGTGAGGGCGCAGCGGGAGGCGTTGAGGCTCGGGATGCTCCGCCATGATACAATGGCTCTGGAATCTCCGGCCATGGCGTGGGAATTTTGAACAAGGGAGGTGGAAGAGTGAAGGGATAAGGCGAGGGAGGCAGTTGCAGAGAGAGAGGAGACCAGAGTGCACGGGAAGGCGCACTTTGTTCCGACTCTCAAATCTGTAGAGACAGGCGCGTATTATTTGCTAATTTGGTAAGAAATGCGCGTACTCACCAATCGCCATACATATGTTCTGAAAAGAGGCGACCTTTGGGGCCCCATGTTGACAGCCACCGTTACCCATACCTTCTGGGTCTGGAAAAATTATGGAGTTTGGACCCCATTTTTCATTTGGTTAATTTTATAAATAATTGGGCTTTATATACAGGAATGACTTATTTTCTTGTCACGTCACGTATTTTTCACATAATAATGTATTATTCGATTGAAATGTTATGGTCATGATAAATCCATTTCATAAAAGATGAGACTTATTTTAATGTTATCGGAATAGAGGTATTAATTTATTTATACTTTAATGAGTGATCTCAAGATCGACTCATATGAATAACGATAACGTATAATATATGTGTAAAGTTGATGATTAGTAATGATTAGCATATTGTGTGGCTTAGGCCCTTTTTTTCTTGCCAACAGTTATGTGGGTTTCTATGGTGAAAGGGAAAGGAGGTCGGGAGCCCCGATCTTTGGTGTGGGGGTCATAAGGTGTTTGATTTATATTGGAGCACTATTATTCACACAGTCATTTTTACTTCTCATACACATTTTTCAATTTTCGGTTATCATATCGAATGAATTGAAGAAGATTAATGGTAAAAAATTAACAAGGATTTGTAATAAGTATAATTATGTGTGTGAATAGCGTTATTCTTTATACTATAGCACTACGCTCACTGGCTTAACCGGTCTTTAGAGTAGAATTTCATTGTGAATTAAGTCACTAGAGACGGTGTACATGACTCGTATACATTCCATGGTTTATCCTATACATTCGATGACTTATCTTATAAATTAGAATATCATATCGTATAAAAAAATATTCTTAATTATTCAATTTACTATGTAGCATGAGGATTAGTGGCTTTGTATTAATTCTTTATATAACTAACTTCACTATCGGTAACTTGTCTTTATTGAACTTGTTTAATCTAAAATGGTGCACGACAATATTATAGTAAAAAGGTATCGTGGGCAATATTCGTATCGTGGCGGACAATCAATATAGAAAGTTAGATTGGACAATTAAAATTTGGGAATTTTAACAAAAAGTTTTTGATACTGTT